AAAAGAAAAGAAAAATATTTAATATCATTCATTTAATATAATGAATAAGATGTTAACATGTGACATGTTTATTAAACTCCTTATAATAAAATGTTAATAATAAATACATACTAATGTAATAGTATATTATGTGAATGATTAATTATTGAATTAATGGTTATGCTCAATGTATGTTTTGAAGAAATAAGCGAATTTCATAAATGTATAATATTGGCGTTTATTTATATTAATTATATTAAACTATTGAAATGAAAAAAAAAGTACGTAAATAACTGTTGTAAAATGAACTGTAAATGAGCTAAGTCATTATTATTATTATTTTTTTATGTATGGAAACTATTAAAATTGTTAATCTAACCATTAAAAAAATATTCCATACTAAAATGTACTTATATCAAGATATACACGCTCAGATTTTATACTTTCATGAGAAACTTTTAGCAATTCACCTATAAAACTATTTTATTCGATAACCATTTCAGAGTTACGACCGAATAACTGATAATTTTGATTTTACTAATACATATTTATATAGCGGTCCTGAACGTTTATCTGCGTCTCAAAGGCTTTATTAGACCACGTTATGTACAATATAGTTCATTTATACCTTAAATATATTTTCGATATTTTTAGATACAACTCGTTAACATATAGGGGAGTTGTTTTTTTTTTTTGAAATATTATATCTATAAAAATGTAATATATTAATATGGTATTATTTGGTTGAAGTACGAAAAAATAAATTCAGAAGTATAATTAATGTTTATTATTTGAATGAATTATGTTCAAAGTTTTAATCAAAACTTAATTTGGATTTTTTTTTTTTAATTTATAGCCAATAAATTGTTCTGATTTGGTTTCTTGTAAATATTTTCACAGGACTTAGACATTTAGTTTTAATACTTTTAACATTATTTTAATTTCAAATTGTGGGTAGTACTTAGATGTGTTAGTTTATGTAGTGTAGTTAAATATATAAAGATTATAATGACTCTGTTACGGACGGAAAATGAGTCTGTATCATTGTCTTTGTATATTAATATGAAACTGTACCAGATATTCTGCTTAATTGAAATAATTAGTAGTCCTTTAGCGTCGAAAATAAAATGATTTTGTGACAGTAAAAACAGTAAGATTATGATAAAATCATACAAATTTGCACGCTTTACTAATAATCATTGAAATAACTTGACGGAAAATCTGCATGAATTTAAACCGTTTATCAACAAGTTAAATTTGATTGTTATTATTATATTTTTATTTAATTTCTATATTTACTTATTAATTCACATGAAATAACAATCAATTGGATTTGAATTTACCATTAAATTTGTCAGATATTATTGTTCAAAGAGTTGAATGTTTAAGTTGTGTGATACTAAAGATGTTTGCTTATTCATTTGATAATACTTTAAAACGTTGAAGAGAGTTTTGGTTAGAATTAACAATGAAATCTAGTTCATTGTAATGTCCTCTAGAAATTTCTCTAGGTCGATGTTTAAAGCTGTTATTTATAATATGTATTTAAAATCACAAAACATAATAATTAAGCAAAACTTTTGAAATTGAAAAAATGTTTTTCTAGAGATTATCTAATTTTAAAATTCTTACCGTAAAAATATCTTAATATTTTATAATTCTTAAAATGTGAGAAAAGTTTAGCTTAAAAACTGAAGAAATTTATTTTAGTAATTTTAGATGTTTATAAGTAGAATAATGTAATAATATAAAATATGGCAGTGGAGAGGCGTGTTTCAACCTCTTTTCTACATCTTGCATGTTATCTGGACTCCTATAACAAATTCCTAAATATACCACTAAACCTTTCATAATTTTTCAAATATAATGTCTTTGTTCCTTCAGAGAATTCATTTAAGTATTAAACATTTTTTAAATGTTACTAGTTATAAAAACTCATTTTATTATTATTAAAATACGGTAGTTACTGTACATCTAGAAATGTCTAAAATATTGTGGTAAAATTATCAGAATATTATTATAATATATTGACTGTAATATTTAAGAAATATTTTTAAATGTTATAATTTATTCATAGAACATAAGAATTTTTACCAAATAATTAATTGATAACCTAACTATAATACTGTAGAATCGTGTGAGAGCTACTTTTAATTAAGAAATTAATCAATTAAAGTGATTTAGGATCAGAACAATGTCTTAAAATAAAAATTTCAAGGCATAAAATTGTGTTATAAACTTATATTTTATTTATTAGATACGATCCGTTTATATTTCGACGAAAAACTCCTTCGGGCCATATATAATCATATGAAACTTGATCTCGTGTATATTACGGCGTGATGAATTTACTCACCGAGTACTTCCTCTGTAATACTGTTAGATGAATTATTATTTGCACAGCAAAATGTTGTTAGCCTAGTTGTTAATAAACTGTCGAAAGCTGTGTGACAGAGTCAGATTAGTACTCGTGAGAAGAATACTCTATAAAGCGTCAGTTATTAATCATTCTAAAGATATAATTAAATTTATAAAACTGAAAATTATGACTAAGTGTTGATACGATGTATTCGATGTGGATATGTTGCATAAATAAAATTGAAACACAATTCATAAAAGAGATAATCAGAAATTTGTAAAAGCTTTTTTAAAGAACTCTATAAACATTCCTTAAATTAAATTTTTTGGATTATTCTTTAAGTAAAAAAAATAACTACTTACGTTTTTATGAATAAATTATTTTGAAGATTACATTTAAATTTTGAATCAACATTAGTGTTGTTTTAAACCTTATTATCTATTTTATTTACAATTTTTTTTTCATAATTTAAACTGATTTTCCACTAGTGAATCACCTAAATTACACTTAAAAAACTACGAAAAGCTTTTAGTTTTTTTGAAATCATTGTCATTATTAATAAATTATTCTAATATCCGTTCATAATCATATGAATATATATATATAAATTTTGTACGACTAAAAATTCAATGTTGTAATTTTACAATAATAATATACATAAAATAATAAAGATTGTTCTTTGAATAATTTCTTTTAACCAATAATAAATAAGAGATTATTATTATCTCTGCTTTGAATTATATGATTTTTGGAAGGATTTAAAATCTAGAGAATTTTAACGAATCTTTATAGAATTTAAAGTGGAAAAAATGAGCTATGAAATACAATGGCAGGACAATGAATACTATGCTCACAAATTTTGGACAAAGTGCCTTTTTCAAATTTTACTTCTCACATAGACTGGACATTTTAGTACAATGCTCGGTGATTGTATACAATGCCGAAGTTGACACGAGAAATGTGAACTTTAGACTATCAGATTATAAATACCAGTCGTCATCGTTGTTATAAAAATAAATGATAAATTTAACAAATGATTTCATACGATATAAGTCTTAATGACTTATGTCGTATGAAATCATATGAAAATACAATACTACGTATTTTAGCAAACAGAAATACGACAAACTTATTAAGCATGTAAAATAAATCAAGTCAAAAAAGTAAACTTTCTAATAATAATAAAATTATTGAAAAGTATGATATTTTTGATGGCAGTACAATAAAAAAAAAGGTGTAAGTCGTTAAACTAATTATATTGAAAGAGATGAATTTACGTTGTTAAATAGACTTAATTGACTTAAAAAGCATCCAGATGGTAAGTATAAGTTTATATTAGTTAATCAAAATAATTTAACAAAATGTGTGAACTTACGGCTTTTAAGTCATAAACTTACTGGAAAAGTTGCATATGTACTGTTAGATATTTTTACAACGTTCGATACCCCATCAACATTACAAACCGAAAACGAAAAGGAAACCTTATTATATATTCTTTATGAATTACTTATAGAAATATTTTAACACGAACTATGATTCTTTTACAACGTATTAAAAATAATTATCATTTGTATACTTCACTTGTCAATTAAATTTCTATGGTTAAATTTTAATAAACATTTAACATGTATATAAGCGCAATTAAATGGATAAGAATTCGAAATCTCGGACTTCCATCTGGAGGTTATAAGTTTTATTACTATTCAATTAAATGTTTTCCAAACCACTTTTGTATCTTTTTTCCTAGTTTACGATAAATATAAAAAAATATAATAGAATAGTTAATCTTTAGTATAGGTAAGTATATCACATACAGATACTTTATAGGATTCAATTATTCATGAAAGAGTAATTTGAATTTTTTTTTTGAAAATTAACATGATTAAACGCGAGTATGCATAAGTTTATACAGATCTACAATTGTAGTTTTTAAAGATATTTAGTTATTGTTATTTTTTAACCTACAAAATTTAAATATATTGTTGGAGTACAAATTATAAATATATATATATATTTTATTCTCTTTGGAATAACATTGCTTTGATCTCAAAAGAATAGATATTGTGCAATAAATTATTTAAAGATAGGATCGCTAACAGATTTAAATATTTATAAAAATACATATTTTATGAACCAGGAGTAGTATTAACTTATTGATTAGTAGATATAACATTTATTTAACATAAGTAATGAATTTTTAAGTATAATTTATAATTGACATAATAGGGTTATAATATAAACCTTCATTTATATTATCTGATGTCGGTAAGTTTTAATGAGTTTTGGATTTTCCAAATTATTAAAATTAAATGAGTTTACTGTAATCAGTAAACAATTACTGTAAGGGTCAAACTAATCTTATGCTCATTTTCTTGTTGAAGTATAATGTATAATTTATACTTGATTATAAATTATTTTCTTCGTAATAAATGTTTATTAAATTTATGTAATATAACAGCTACGTGGGATTAATATATAACACTTTCTATAAATGTTTTAAAATAATAGATAGATAATGTTGTATATTTAATAATGTACACTTTAAAAATTTAGTAATAATCAAATGAATGAATAAAAAAATTATGTCGTTTTGTAACATAAATATAATAGTTATACATACTTTATTTTTCGAGTTGTTGTAGCTCTATATCGANATACATACTTTATTTTTCGAGTTGTTGTAGCTCTGAACTAAGGATCGATATCACTAAAATATTTAAACATAAAACATCTCAGTAATATGGTAATATTGTTTAAATATGAATTAATTATTGTAATTAAAAATATGTATTTTAACATCAAAGATTGAACATGGAATAAAAAAACATTTGTATACCGCAATGAAGCATTCAGCTACTTAAAAATAAATATAAATTTCAAATTAAAAAATGTCTATTATAGCATAATAAACATTTTATAATATTACACAATGATATATAACTATATATTCTATTATACCAGATACAGACTGATCAGTTTAATATAAACCACTCAAATACTCGCAAAATAAATACAATATTGGAAAAATATATTTCGTTTTTTCTTTATTTCCATATATTTTTTGATATATCATCTAATAATGACTTTTTAGAATCATCCCTTATAACATAAAGGAATGTCAACTTTAATTTTTTAAATGGCAACGAATATATTTAACTAGATCTATAAAAAGTTTTGGGTTAGTACTTCGAATGTAATTTTCATTTTTATACCTAGACAGGATGAAGAGACAGGATGGTTGGGAAGTGACTTGTGATAAAAATATCAGCACTCAATCCTCAGCTCCAGATATTAATTGAAATTATTAATAACTTCTGAAATACTAATCGAAAAGTTGTTATCGACCAGCTATATTCTTCATTAAATTATATCCTATTTTATAAGCCAGTTAAATATGTACGTTGCCATTAAAAATATAAATTTCACACCCCTTTAAGTTATAAGGTATGATTTTAAAAAGTCATTATTAACTGATAATTCAAAAATATAAATAACTAAAAAAATCAACATTTTTTTCCAATATTGTATTTATTTTACGAGTAATCGAGTAGTTTATGGTATATCAAACACTCTGTATAGTTTACAATTTATATGTAATGATTATTAATCTATTACACATCATATTAAACAGTGTCGGCACTAGGATTTTAGCCCGGTTTGAGAGCTAAAATTATGACTTGCCTGGGGAAAATCATGATTGCGAGTCCCTGTGCCCCTTGTCACAGATGCTTCCACAGAACGAAAGAACCGAATATTTGATAATAGTCGCTTTACTAATATAATAAATAAATAATAAATAATAAATAGTAGTAATAAATAATAGTAAATAATAAATATTATTTACTAAAAAAAAAAAATATTAATAATACGAAATTTGAGATGATTATGATATTCTACAGTAAAAAGTAATAATAAGCCTAATTGATGTTTCAATACTTATCTAAATAATGTATTTTGAATAGGAAACGACCACTCACATAACCACCCGTGGCATATTAGAATAGAAAAAGTAGTGGTTATTGAATGTTTCCCTCGAAAAATAACCACATGTGGTACCCAGCAGTTACATAAAAAATGTAGTTTATTTTATGCATAAAAACATTAAACTGATAATTGTAACATTATACTCGAAATACGAGTAGGTGATTTTTGTGACTATTGAGTGAAATATTTTTTATATTTTTAATTTTGAAATAATATTTGAATTATATTTCTTAATTTTAAACAGTATTAACTATAAATGATCAATTCTTATTATAAACTGAAAATATTATAAAAATTATAATAATTAAAAAAAATTTGCACTGTTAAATGAAACATATTTTTGTAACGAGAGAAAAATATTTATTTGCTCGATAACATTTTGATTGTACTATCAAAAAATTATTTTCGGCTGTATACTAACAATAGATTTGTTGATTTTACTAAGTTTTTTTCAGTTTACAGTTATGTTACTATCAGATGTCATCTATACTTGTCTCAAATATGCCATGTTCCCACTGTGCTTTTTTTTTTTTATTGTAGTACTCTTCAAAAGCTCTAATTTCATATAGGTTTTAATCTCTATGAAATTTAAGCCACAATTAAAACCTATTTTAAACCAAATAAAATAAAACGAAAAATTAAAGACTTAGCTGTACAACGAATAATATATGAATAATGGCATTGAGAAATGGACTATATGTATGCTTTGCGTTGAAGTTCTGAAGAGGTAAATGGATTGATAGCTACGAGAGTAGTCAATTAAGTAGTAAATACTTCAGTGACATACAGAGCCGACCACTAAAGTAGTGCACAAGTACGAAATCTCGAGGAAGCCAGGGCATGACATGATTTACAAAAAACAATAAAATATATATGTATTATATTTTATTTAAATAAAAAGTGAATATAAGTATTGCTGAACAATAGCACACACAGTCGGAGGCGATTGCTGTGCATACAAAAGACGCAAAATATATGAGAAACGATTATGCATAATTATTATTATATTATAATTTATAGACAATATCAATAAATAATAATATAGATAAGGATATGTGAAAAAATTTAACATATATTATTTAATTACAATATTAGATTAATAAAAAATACAATAAGGAAAACTCATGTACATTTAATTATACTTTAATTATAATAGTGTTAGTGTAAGATCATAAAAACGTATCAACAAAAAAAGAATTTTTTTTCGAACAAATTTATACGATTATTTTTATTGAATTTTGTTTTTATACTATGTAACTTTGGGGGTACTTTAATTATATTATAACTTCTTACTCTAAGAGTTTTATGGTTATAACAATAAATTCTACAAAAAAAATAAATTATTTAATAATTTAAAAATTTTTGAAGATACAAAATAATAAATATAAAAGTTTAACTATACAGGGTGATTTTTTTATCATAACCCACTCAATTACTTACAGAATAATAATAATTTAAACATTTTTTTTATTACTATCTTTAGTTACACATTATTCTTGAATTATTAACTATGTAATACTTTTTAAGTTCATCCCTTATGCCTGGTAAGGGTGTCAACTTTGTTTTTTTAAATGGTAACACATATTTTGAATTTAATAAAATGTTTGAGTTTTTAATTTAATAACAAATGTCATTTGAATTTTTAATATAACTTTATTCGTTTATTAGATATAAACATTTAAAGTTTCAAATTTTTGAGTTAATATATAGGTATAATACACAAGGGATTACAAATACAGGTAGCTAATTGATTTTTTATGACATCGATATTAGCAGGTACAAAGCATTGTTATTATCAATGGTAGTAAAACACATTGTTGTGAGTTTATAAATACACTAACTGACAATACAGAATCTACAGGGTGTTCAGTAAGTCACAAGGTTACAAAGTCACAAAGTTACAAACAATGAGAACAATAGAAACCCGTTTCCTGACTTACTGAACACCCTGTATATCTNACATTGTTGTGAGTTTATAAATACACTAACTGACAATACAAAAAGTATATCTATTGATAGTCATAATTGATAATAAACAATCCGTGACTGTGATAGCAATATCATAAAAAATCAATTAGCTACCTGTATTTGTAATTCCTTGTGTATTATACCTATATATTAACTCAAAAAATTGAAACTTTAAATGTTTATATCTAATAAACAAATTAAGTTTTATTAAAAATTCAAATTCCATTTACTATTAAATTAAAAACTCAAACATTTTATTAAATTCAAAATATGTGTTACCATTTAAAAAAACAAAGTTGACACCCTTACTAGGCATAAGGGATGAACTTAAAAAGTATTACATAGTTAATAATTCAAGAATAATGTGTAACTAAAGATAATAATAAAACAAAAATTTTTAATTATTATTATTCTGTAAGTAATTGAGTGGGTTATGATAAAAAAATCACCCTGTATATACATTTTTTTTTTTAATTTTTAATATGTGAGTGCCAATGTAACACCTCTTATTTTCTGTTAACTTAACGTTTATACTTTTTCTTCATTAAATTTGTTTAGCTAATTACGCTTAATGGTTTTACTAAACAATAGTGATTTTATGTAATTTCGTTTGATGTAAAGAGTATTATGAAAAATAATTAAGAAAAATGTTCGAGATATTTGTAAGAATTTAATTATTTTACTAAGCAGCTTTTTTAATAATAAAACAATCAAAAAATTCTTTAAATTATATCTTCTATAAATATACATTAAAAAAAATATTAACTTAAAAAAATACTATACAATAAGAGTTTGATAGGTGTAAATATTATACTATTATATAGATGCCATTTTGTATTAAGAACATATGGGGTGACTAGGGAAACTATGGTCAGTGGGTAATACCGATTACCACATTATCTAATAAATCCATGCATCTAAAATTATGTTGACCTTATGTATAGATAAGAATGATAAAAAAACCTTATTCTTATTAGAACGATATTATCAAAAAAAGATTTCACGTTTAAATGTGTGAAAATAGTTTTCAGCGTTTCTTTATCTAAAAAAATTTTTTTTAAAGACTTAAATTGAATCTAAGCAAATTATTATATATTTATAATTTATATGAACTATATTCAATGATTATTTTAAATATTATTTTATCCGTATCTTTTTTACATGTATTTATGTATGGCCGATATTCCCCCGAGGTAGGCGGAATACCGATCATTTGCATTAAAAAAAAAAATATATATATATATTTAATAATAATATTTAGCGTCTTAAGACCAGAGATATAACAATTTTTGCTAAGGTGACCGTAATTCCCCCAGTCACCCATATCACATAATTAAAATAGTTCAAGAGAAATATAATAGTGTTTTTAAATGTAATGCTAATAATATCTGAAAATCTCAGATACATCTTCAAATAGGTGCGTTTTGATAATTTAAAATTCGTTATCATTCTATTTTTGTACTATTTTTATTCCATTTTATTATGGCCGTCTTAAACTATGTTGAAAGCATAGTTTTTATTACTCATTAATAATAATAAAAATACAATAACAATATTTTATATTTTATTTTTTCAAAATTTAAAAAAAAACATTTTTGAGCCTTTTTTACAAACAATTTTGATGGATGTAGCTCGTACAAATTTAATAATTCATGAAAGCTTTATAGTATTTGCAAGTTTTAAATTTTCTCAAGAAATTGTAAGAAAAAGTTCAATTATTTTCAACAAATACCGAAGAATTATTAGAGCTTATGA